GAAGGAATGGGGAGACAGAACTCCAGCATGAGAAATGAACCCACGTGGTGTTTAGAACATCACTGCACCTCCCACAGAGGTAGCACTCCTTGATGAGCCAAAATTCCAGCCTTGGAGAGCCTACTTTGCATTTTGTGGCTCACACAGCACAGCACCATCCACGTGGAAAGCAGGAATTTGGAGCTTTTGGAAGGCAGCAGGGAGGCACAGCCCAGGTGTATGGCACCAGGAACACAGACAGGTAAAGGCAAAGGGTGTTTGCTCTAAGCTATTCCTCAAATATTGGCATATTTGGGTTTATTGCAGGAACACAAGAGTGACAACATTTGCAGTGCTCTGAAAAACAAAATTCTTCCAGCCCCCTCCTTCACAAACACGATTTGGGAGCCTGCAGCAACAGGAACAAGGAGATAAGCTGAGGGAACTGAGGCTGCTGCATAAAACACACAAAGGAGGAAAAGGCATTTGTTTTCTAAGTGGTGACACTGTACCAGTGAAGTGCAGGAACCAACCCCAGGGAGAGCAACTTCAGAGTTCACCAAGCACAACCGTAAAAAATAATAAGATACAAAGATCTTTTCATCAGGCATCACAAAGGAGTTTGAAATACAAAGTGTAACAGCAGCAGCAGGAAACTCTTCCTCCTGATGTCCTGTGCCAGGGAGTGTAGTTCAGGGTTCCTTCTCCACGCCCAGCCAGAGGTGGAAGGTTTGGTCACTGAACTGGGTGTTTCCTCCTAAGCCTCTGCTAGCTCTCTGGCACTGGTGTGGTTAGTCAGGACATCCTCCAGGTACACAGACACTCTCACCCTCACCTTGCCCTCCAGCTGTTTCTCCAGCCCACTCAGATGGTCGATGGCTCCTTGCAATCCTCTCTCCCTCTCTGCCAGGTCCATCCCTGCCTCGTTTTCCTCCCCTGCAGACCTCAGGTACTGCAGCACGTAGGGTCTGATGGCCTCGCCGTGGTCCCGGATGGTTGCCCAGACCACGGGCAGGTCCGTGCTCTTTGCCAGCCGCAGCAGGTGCAGCAGAGCTTGGCAGATCTGGGTCCTCAGGCTGGAGCAGTACTTGAACTCCAGGAAGTCCTCTGTGTCCTCACTCCTCTGCAAGGCCACCACCAAGGCACTCCAGATCTGGCAGAACTGCTCCGTGGAGCCGTAGCACTCCCTCCGGCTCGGGATGGACAGGGCCATGGCCGACTTGATTCGCACTTTGAAGTTCTTGCAGGATTTGACCACTGAGGAAAGGGCACTGTATGCCTGTGTGGTCCAAGGAGCCTCTCCTAAAAAAACATATATGCAAAACTGTAAATGAATCTCCTAAATATTTCATGGGCTTATAAATATTGTGGTTTCGATGAGAGAATCAGGTGTAATGAAGTATTAGTTAAAACAGTTAATCCCCTGAAGTTTTCCAAGAGGAAAAGTGACAGTTAATCCCCTGAAGTTTTCCAAGAGGAAAAGTGAAATTTGGCACCTATTCACAGCTATCATCATGCTCTTTTCTAGCATAACAGATCCAACCAAACACAGGAGTTGCACCTGCACTGGCAGGAGCTGAGCCTGTCTCAGTGGGAAGAGATCTGGGAAAGCTCTGACAACAACACTCAGCTCCACTGGTTTCCTCCCCTCTTCTCCAACACGTGGCCACCAGAAACCTTCTCCTCCAAGCTGGAGCTGCTGTGCAGCTGCACTGGAGGGAGCAGCACTCACCCAGGGGCAGGGCAGGGTTCCTGAAGACGTTGCCCAGCGCGTAACACGCGTTCCAGCGCACCTTCATGGTGGCCTCGCTCTGCACGGTGCCGATGAGGGCCTGGAGGGACTCCTCGATGGCCTCCCTGAACCTGGGGTTGGCTATGTGCTGGGGCTGCAGGAAATGCAGCACGTTCCCAAGGGCACGGACAGCATTGCTCTTTACCTGGAACACACACACACACGCTCTGGTTTTCAGGTTACAGGCAAAGCTTTGGTCAAGCCACTATGAGGCTGTGCTCAGAGCCCACCAGGAGCACACCTGGAATGGAACTGGTGGCTTACAGCATAGCAACTTCCAAGCAAATAGCCACAAACCAACCCCAAAACTCCCTGCACTGCAGAAAAGCCCAAACTCCCTGCAGGTCAAACCCAGGAAACCTCCCAGGGAGGATGCAGAGCTGCAGCTCTCCCCAGCTCTTGGGGCAAAGTGCCCCAGAGCAACTGGTGCCTTTTTCCTTTTTAAATCCAAATGCAAGAGTTGCCTACACCAGCTCCACCCTCCTTCTACCTTGTCTCTGTCCTTGGATGCCTCTGTGGCAGAACGTAACATTTTCAGCAGCAGGACATCAGAAAGCTCCTCCTGAAAGCTTTGTCCCATGGTTTCCCTGGCAGGAGAATCACCCTGTGAACACCCAGCTCGGCTGATCCATCCCCAAAGATGTGATACAACCCTTTACAACAGCCCATGAGCAAACAACCTTCACTCTGTCAGAGGCTAATATGTAAGACAGACCTTTCTGCATGTGACCACCATGGTTATTAATCTAAAACCAAACTATCAATGCAAGAAAGCTGGTTAGCAATGGTTGGGTCTGTAATCAAAAACAGAGGGCAAGGAATTGCTCAGGGGCAATTCTGCAGCAGCAATATATGATAACTGTTTCTCCTGTTAAAAATGTAACAGTAGGTTAAGGCTTCCCTCAGCCTTTGGCTGGAGGAAGGGTTAAATATTTATTGATTTTACTTCTGTGTTATGTAGGAAGTAAAGGAACCATGAGATTACAGCAAGCAACACACGGAAAACAGAAAACAAAAGTAAACTTGAAACACAGTCTCTCTACAGAGAGACTATGTACAGAGCATGGAGAGCCAGGACAAGGGGAAAAGGCTTCAACGCTGACACAGAGGAGGTTTAGATTAGGTATTTGGAAGGAATTCCTCCCTGTGAGGTGATGAGGCACTGACACAGGTTGCCCAGAGAAGCTGTGGCTGCTCCATCCCTGGGAGTGTTCCAGGCCAGGTTGGATGGGGCTTGGAGCAGGGAGTGGAATGGGATGATCTTTAAGGTACTTTCCAGCCCAAACCATTCCATGATAGTGACTGCAGCACTTCCCTGGGCAGCACATTCCAATGCCTGACAGCCCTTTCCATGGAGAAATTCCTCCTGATGCCCAACCTGAGCCTCCCCTGGGGCAGTGCCCTGTGTGACAGCGCAGGGTGCTCACGTACAGGTTGATGATCAGGGTGTCTGTGAGGTTGCCCAGGGACCAGGCTGCCTTGGCTCGCACGTTGGGAGACTTGTCGTGGAGGGAATTCAGAATGGCATTTGCTGTGTCTGCCACGAACATCACATCCTGTCGGAGCAAAAACTGCTGCAGTTACAAAGTCTTCAACACTCAGGGGATTTCCTTAGGGACAAACATCCTGGGGAAAGTGATACCTGCAGAGAGACCAACTCTATTCCTTTACTCTCCTTTCTTAGGTGACACCTTCTAACCTGCTCATGGTGCTCCCTGCACAGCTCTGACCTTTAATTAGCAGCCCAAATCCACCACTCTCCTGGGCTGCTGTTGCTGAAAGGCTTCAGTGCATAATTTCATTTCCTTCCTGCTTTAGTTCTTTTGGATTCTAACATCATTACCTGCACTGACAACCTTAAACTCATCAAATCCCTCTCTTAGTGTAATTGCTTCTCCAAACTCCCTGTTTTGCTGCTTGTCTAATCTTCTCTTCTATGGCACATTACATGAGCCTATGGCAAAGGATTTTAGTTCAGAAGATTTTGGAATCAAACCCCAACATCATAATGTTTTTCACTACAATCATCCATTTAGGGCCACATTGCAAAAACTAATCTTCCAGCTAAGATCATTTTTTTGTGGAAGCAAACCAGCACATAAGTTTTATTTCTTAGTTTTAAGCAAAACTGAAGCCTTCACATAAAAACCTGTTAAAATCACAGAATCATGAAGGTTGGGAAAGATCTCTAGAGTCAAATCCAACCATTAAGCTCCCCCAAGCACTGTGCAGCTGTTCCCTTCATCCCAGCTCTACCCCACCTGCAGCTCCTTTGTGCCAACCAACCACTCCAACTTCCACCTCTGAGAGCTCAGGGAAGATCCTAACCACCCTTTTCCTCTCCCCTATGAGGCACTCTGGATTCTGCTCCATCTCACTTAAAGCTGCACTGGTTCTGCCCTCACAGAAAAGGCAAAAAGCAGCTCTGGAGCCGTAAGGAAAAGCTTAGACACACTACAGACCAAAAGTCCAACCCACTGATGCCAAAAGAATCCACGTCTGATGGTTCATCAGACCCATGCAGTGCTCAGGAGGCCCAGCCCAGCCTGACCTGCCGAAGACACGGGAAGAGGACGTAGACACCCAGGGCACGTGCAGCAGCTGCTTTCACCAGGGGGTTCTCACTGTGGTTCAGGCCAAGCAGCAGTGTCACACACAGGATCTGCTGCTCATCCTGCAATGAGAGACGGGCATGGAGGTGGAGAGGGACTGAGGAGAACTCTGTCCCACCAACACACTCTGAAAGACACCACAGAACCTACAGAAGCTGCCACTAAGAGAGGGTTTAGAAGCAAACTCAAGGAATGTTTCCGGCAAACATGATCTGGGTGCTGTTAGGTAAGACCACAGAGGAAACCAAAACACTAACCATCAGACAAAGGCAGAAGGAATAGCCCAACAGAGGTAAAACAGAGTGGGTGAGTTGCTTTTGCCTTACTTCCCTCTTTCCCCTTCATTACCCAGGACACACAGGCAGAGAAGTTCATCCTGGACAGGTTGTCAGTTCACCAGCCCATGACAAGGGGTCAGAGTGGGCACTGACTTGACCCCCATGGCCACAGGGCCAGGAGTGTGTATGAGATCAAAGTCCAGGGGGATGAAGCACATGCTGTACTCAGAGGGACCAGCTGGAGAATTCCACAGATACTGCTGGATTAGCAATTCCTGGGCAAACGAGACCTGGCACAGCACTCCCCAGCAAGGGCACAGTGACACGGGAGGAGCTGCACAATGCCCTGGGGACCCACTGCCAAGGCTTTCATGTTTAAAAGCATATTTCATGTGGCAAAGGGAGAGGGAGGCCACCGCGTTTGTTTGCTCCTGCCAGGGCAATCACCACAGCCTGGTGTTTCAGAGCCAGCCAAAAGGACAAGCAGCATGGAAAGGACTGCACAACGTCAGGCTGTGGCTGTTGGCTCAGCTGCTCTTCAAAGGAGTAACAATCCCTCACCCCTCCCTTGTGCCTTGAAACTCTTGTCCTCCATCTCCTGTGCATCATGGCCAAGGCTGAGCACTCCTGGCAGGGCCAAACAGCTGCAGTGACCCAGTCTGATTGTTTTCTCAGACCAATGACTCCCAACATTGCCTTTTCCATTGCCTTTTTCAGCCTTCAGGAGTCACAATGTTCAGAATGCAAGAAGAAATCATTCTGGAAGGTTCCTCTACCTTCTCCTTGTAAGTTTTAGAAGGCTTTGCACTATTGTAATCTGGTGGAGAAGAACAAAGCCTCAAAGGTACCAACAGCATGATTAAAGGTGTGTTCTCTTACCTGCAGAAGGCTGAAAGCTTCTGGCAGGATAGAGGACAGAGCATCACAGGCACTTGTCTGGAGCGTGGCGTGAGGAGAGCTCTGCAGAGTGCCAGGTAAAGGGCCATTCAGCATCATAGTCCAGAAAGTCACAACCTGCAGGAGAAACACACAGGTTCACCTGCTTAACCTCAGCAACTGTGTCCAAGTCCTGTAACAGGCTGTCTCAAAGATGATCATCTTTAAGGCACACTTAGAGCAAGGAGCATAGCACACGTGGAAGGGATTACAGCTTTTGGAGCCTGAAATACTTGGCATTCAAAAACATTTTCAAAACATTTTAGTACTGTTATCAAGTAGTTGTTCACTGAGTTCTGTTTGTTTCCTTCTCAAGGCCCATACCCCCAGATTAGATGGCACTGGGCAGAACTCAGATTCCATTCCTGAATCCACACAGATAGGTATTTTCATTGCCTGACAATTTACATTCAGATCAAGTAACAGAAACCTGGTGCTCACTGAACTTTCCTGCCTTGCAGGGTCATTGGTGACTGGCTCAAAACTCAGCATGAGCCAAAGCAATTGTTAAACTTGTTCACAGAAACAAGACTTAAACAGGTCTAGGTTAGTGCCAGGATGACACTTCCTCAGCTCCTGCAAACTTAGCCAACAAACAGCCAATGGATTTTCCTGAGTTCACATATATTGTGGTTCTGGGTGCTCTCTGCACCTGTGAGCAGCCAGAGCTGTAGGTTGGCTCTGTAATAATGCAAGTTCACTACAACTCAACAAGATTTCTGTAGCAGTAATGATCCATGTAAAAGCAGAGCTGTCCTTCCAGCTCTGACCTGCAGCAGGCAGGAAGGGGTAGGAAGAATGCAAAAGGACTAAAACCCAACAGAGCTGCCTACAGACAAACCCAGCTGCCAAAATAATGCAGCAAGTCTACCAAAACTGTCCTCATTGGCAGGGTGCTCAGGCCCTCCCTGCTCTCCTGCAGCTGATCGCTCTGCCCCTGTGCCAGGGACTCTGCAGAGCCCAAGGAAGGAGCTCAGTGGAGTCTCACACTTACCACACTGACTGGCACTCTCTGCTCAGGGGCAATAGCTGAGTCAGGTCTGTACTGCTGCAGGACACCAGTGCCCAGCTCCTCCAGCAGCTGCAAGGGACAACAAGCAGAGAGGGATTCATCAGGGAGGACTCCAAGACCACAGAGCTACAGCAGCCTTCACCTAGGACTGTCCTTCCTCACCCAGGGAACAAAACCAAAAGATTCAGTGTTGCTTTGGCCTCTCCTCTGCCCCTGCTACAGGAGAAATGAGAGGAAAAGCTTTTCTTAAATAGTCTCCTTCCAGAGCAGCAAAACAAATTGCTGCACAGAGAGGAAATCTGTAAGCTGTTCTTTGGGTGACAGACAACAGCCCCTGCACCAGCTGATGCTAAATCAGAGAAGGGCCAGTGTTGTAGTCCTTGCACTTCCCAAGCTTCCTGGTGACTCAGCAGAGCAACAAAATTGTGCTGAGATTTCAAGGCTGGCAGCTGAGGGTGCATTTCTCCAAGTGCTGCACTTGTACATCACACGCACAGATGCTCTGAATATTCATCACTGCTCATCTGCATTTGCAAAGCAACACTAATAGATAAACCTGGCAAAACAACGTTAGTGTGTCATGTGCTCCTACTTTGGCTCCATGAAGCTGAATGGATGGATCCATTTCTTCCATGCATCTGCAAGCCACTTCTCCAAGCTCTAGGAAATAGCTCTGAGCCATAGGGAAATAACCTTTCACAAGAAGAGCCAACACCTAAACACAGGGAAAAAAACACATTCAGTTTTTGCCTTCTGTTAACCCAAAACACCCCAGAGAGGATGTTAATGGGTTAATCAGCCCTGGGGCCACATCCTGAGCTCTGATGTAACAGATACACCTTGAAGCACAACCTCTAGAATAGTAGAGCTAATTAAAAACCTCCCTGTTCCATTATCCTGCTCAAAAAGGAACCACGGAAGCACTATCAGGTAGCAGCACCATGAATTATTTACTCTAAGTGAGGCCTCCTGTAGCTAAAAAAGCTAAGTAAGAGTGTAAGAGCAGGACATCCTGTACCTCCTGTGACATTGCTGCTGCCTTCTGAGCCTGGATTTCATACACATTCATTGCTCCAGAAAAAGAGTGAGATTTCTTGGGATGTGTGCTACAAAATCTCACTGTTCCCTGGGGTTACACGAGGAAAAACAAAGCCAAGCCCCAACACTCCCAGGTACTCCTGGAGTCACACCAGCTCACTGCACTGTCCTCTGACTGCAGGGCTGTTCTCCAGCTTGACTTTAATTTAGATTCTGGGTGGAGGTTTGGCTGACAGGAGGCAGTTTGGTGT